CTATGTAGCCCTGGTTGGCCTGGAGCTGTCTATATAGACCAGGTTGGCCTCAAACTCACAGAGACCTGCCTTCCTTTGCCTCTTGAGTGCTGAGATTAAAGGCGTTCACTGCCAGTTCCAGCTCAGCTTTATTATTATTATTATTTTTTAATCCATTCTTTAAATTTCTCAGGTCATAAGAGACCTGGAATTCACTAGGTAGCACAGGCTGTCCTCCTGCTTCATCTGACCTGCTAGGATTACAGATATGCACCACCACACTTGGCTTCCATTTTCTTAGGTAATACATTTGATTTTACCTATTGGTTTGTAAAGTAGAAAGTATTTATTAGTTTTTTTTGAGTTTTAACAACTATGTGTATGTCTGTGTATATGTGCATGTGAGTGCAGGTATCTGGAGTTACAGGGGAATGTGAACTGCCTGACCTGGATGCTGGGGATCAAACTACAGTCCTCTGCAAGAGTAGAAAGCATTCTTAACTGCTGGGCCATCTCTCCAGCTCTATCTTGACTTTCACAGAGGTTTGATGACTCTTGACTTTGAACACATGGTTTTCTTCTCAGCGTCACAATTCTAATGCTGATCTATCCTGCGTGTGAAGTTCTGGTTCATGTACTTTCATTGTTGCACCATTATTCTGTGATTTGACCCAAAATGTCTTAGTTCATCCTCCTGCCTTTGTCTTAAGGGTTTCCTGATGGTTTATCTCTTCTGCTCTCAAATCGTTTGCTCTATTTTATGTTCTTTCAATGAATCACAGCGGTTGAAGAGACGGCTCAGTGGCCAGCAGCACTGGCTGCTCTTTCAGAGGACCTGGGTTTAGTTCCTAGCACCCACATGGCAGCTCACAACTATCCATAACTCCAGTTTCAGGGGCTCTAATGCCTTCTTCTGACCTCTGTGGGCACCAGGTACACATGTGGAGCACATATGAACATGCAGGCAAGACACTCCTACAGATAAAATACCATTACCCCCTTTGCTACAAGGTCTCAGTGTATAGCCCTTTGTAGACCAGACTGGCCTTGACTCACAGAGACTCATCTACCTTTTTCTAACTCCCAGGCAGTGAGATTAAAGGGATGTAGCACCATGCCTGGCAACATAAATAAATCTTAAAAAAAATTCAAAGAACAAAAGTAAAAACAAAAATAAATCTTAAAAATTGGGGTGGGGGTAGGGGTGGAGAGAGGGCTCAGTGGATAAGAGCACTTGCTGCTCTTGGAGAGGACCTAAGTTTTGTTCCCATCACCCAAATCAGGCAGCTCCCAGCTGCCTATAACTCCAGCTCCAGGGGATTGGATATGGTGATATTTTATTTGTGCTGAAATGTGATTTTATTTGTATGTTAATAAATAAAGTTGCCTGGTGGTCAGAGCTAATAGCAAGCCATTTAGCAGAAGTCTGGCAGTGGTAGCACATGCCCTTAATCCTGATCACATGGCAGACAGATTCTCTGTGTGTTCAAGGACACAGCCAGCTTAGTGACACATGCCTTTAATCCAAGTACCACCATAGAGACCTGGAGGTTTGTATAGACAGGCAGTGATGAAGAAGTCATGTGGTTGGGTTTATGATGAGAAGGCAGAACAGAAAGTCAATAAAAGTACAGACACACAGGAAGTAGGTCTCTCTCAGAGGAAGGACGGCAGCGGCTGGTAAGGTAAAGGCTATTTGCTAGTGCTCTGACCTCTTGGGCTTTTAACTCTGCATTTGGCTCTGTGTTTCTTATTTAATAAGACTGTTTAGAATTACATTTACAATTGGACACCCTTTTCTGGCCTCTGTGGGCACCTGCACACACACACACACACACACACACACACACACACACACACACACACACACACACACACAAATAAATAAATAAATCTTAAAAAATTCTCTAAGTTGTGATTCTTTAGGCTGCATTTCCTGTTACAGGTTTTCTGTGATTTATAGTGTCTCTGATGCTGGTGATTGACAAGTGATTTCTAGGTGAGGGGTTAAGTAGGGTAAGTATACACAGGACAATTATACTTTAGTGAAGATTCATCCAGGATACTCAAGACATTTCAGAGTTGAAATGGTCAATCTGAGGATGCTATAGATGGGCAGATCATGGCCAGGCCATACCTGGTCACGTTGTATTCAGACTTGAGAGTCTGTCCATGGATGATCATTCTTTTGATAGGTGAAGCAAAGCTAGTAGACTGAGATTAAGGGTTCCTTTTCCAGGAAGGTTGACAGTAACCAAGTCAAGTTTTAATCACCAAGCTCTTTAGGCTACCTAAATGATTACTAATAAACAGGGAACAATTTAAGAGATCAGTTAACAAAGTGGTTTTGAGGATTAGTAGACAGGAATCAGGGGGTCTGACAAAGAAAGATTTGTTTGAGTGAAGAAACATTCCAGGTAATGTGAGGGTCGATTTCATTTGATTTCAAGGCTAAAATCCAGCATCGGTTTGCTGCTGTGGAGGTACTGCTCAGCTGGATTTCACAGGAGAGGTGACACCAATCTGCACAGTTTGGTCAGCTGTGCTGGAATGGCTTCAGCATTGTCTGGATATATGAGGAATTGCTCAAGAGTGAGAAGCCTAAAGTCTGGAACCCACTGACATTCTCTGGACAAGGCGATGGAATGAAGACACAGAGCAGAAGGGCACACAAGAAGAGCCTTTCAGTTTTAATGATTGCAGTAATTTCTCAAGAAAGACAAAATTAGGAACAGGAAAATAGTAAATCAAAGGATTATGGACATTTTCCAAAGATTTCAACGGTGACCTGAATCTTCTTACGTCTTTGTTTCAGATGGCCCATCCAGGAATATCCACAAATGCCCATACTCTCAAGTTCAGGTTCAGGTTCTGGTTCCAATTTTCTGTTTAAGTAGAAAAACAAGATTCATGTTGCTGATTACAAAAGAGTCTCCCTGGATTAGTGTAAGTCATTTCTGTCTTGGGACAATCCTAAAGAATGGCCTCTGTATCAGTTAACCCTCTGGTGCGTTAATCTGTTTTATTCATCCAAAAAGATGGTTACTCCCCAGGTTCCAGCCTCTGCAAAGATGCATTAGGAATGATCAAAACCAGAATCAGAACTTTTGAGTCACCACCTAGGCCATTCTGTGTCTCCTTTTATGGAAACCAGTCACAGCACTGCCCGGATGGGATCCTAGATGGGACCCTCTAATAACTTGGAAACGGTCAGTTGTGGGCTGGGACTTCACCTGTACAAAATAGCGTGTCTCTCTGGAGATTTAGAAGACCTGAATGCAAAGATTTGATTTGAGGGATCTTGGAGCATATAAGCAAGTCAAGAGCCTCATGATGGTTAGATCTGATTAAAACAACAAAACAAAACAAAACCCCAAACCAACTTGCTATGTTACTTAGTGAGCAATTGTTTACTTTTTTGGTGTGTGTGTGTGTGTGTGTGTGTATGTGTGTGTGTTGTTTTGTTTTGTTTTTTAGACAGGGTCTCTCTGTGTAGCCCTGGCTGTTCTGGAACTCACTGTGTAGACCAGGGTAGCCTCAAACTCAGAGATCTGCCTGCCTCTGTCTCTCAATTGCTGGGATTAAAGCCCGTGACACCACCACCAGGCTTCAATTGGTTACTTCTAATAGGCTCATTTTCCTCATCTATCAGGTGAAAATAATATTAATATACTGTACAGCTATTTTCATTTAATCTTATTTTTTCATATCTTTCAGTAATTTATTCTTTGACAATTACATATATATTCTTTGACAATTATATATATATATATATTGCATTCTGATTATTTTCATTCCACTTATTTTGATCTCTTTGCCATGCCCCTAAAGGTCACTTTCTTGAATCCATGTCATTTTGTTTTGTGACCCACTGATTTTAGTTGCGGCTGTACATGTGACCATGGTTGTGGAACCTGATGGACTCACTGGTAGGTGTAAAACTGAAGACCATGACTGTTCTTCACCAGGATCCATCAATAGCCAGTAGTTGCCTGGGACAGGAAGCCTGAACCCGTCTCCCGTTCATGGCTGACTGTTTTCACACTTGGGTTTGTGAAGGTGCAGTATATAAGGCTGCAGCTGCTGTGAGTTCTTGATTGCAATGTCTGTGCCTGTCCAGAATATTAGTTCTGCAACTCTGCTTCTCATCATTCTACTCTTATGCCCCTTAGAAGGGATGGTATAAACGTCCTAGGCCTGAGCACTCAGCAGGGTCTTGATCTCTCAGCACTGTGAGCAGCCATGAGTCTCTTCATCTCCTGCAAAGAGCAGCTTCTCCAGTCAAGGTTGAGAGTAGTCATTGTCTTTGGGACTCGGGGAGGCAAAGCCCAGCTTCTCAGGGAGCTGTGGACCCATTGGAGCTGAAGCCTCGGCCTTGCACTGACCTTTGCTCAGATGCGATGCCTGGCCCGTGGGTGCCTTCAGGACTTCTGGGGCTTTCTGGACCTTCTCCATGCTCTCAGTGGGGATTTCTTCTCTTTTGACTCAAGCCGTCCTTCAGCCACGGTAGTAGTCAAAGCTTCTGGGGTGGTTGTTTTTGGAGGGTTAGTGAAGCTATTTTAATGTAAAATTGTATTATTATATGGTAATTGCTTATGAATACCTGGCAGTTTAGCAAATAATTGTTCAGTAGACAGCAGCTACAATTTCCCCCTGGACATATGATTTTTCTAATTGTAAAGTCAATAATTTTTGTTGTTTTGTTTTTTGAGACAAGGCTTCTCTGTGTAGCCCTGGATGTCCTGGAACTCCATCTGTAGGCCAGGCTAGCCTCAAACTCACAGAGATCCACCTGCCTCTGCCTCCTGAGTGCTGCGCTAAAGGCAAGCACCTCGATCTAACCTGATGAAAGTCAACAATTTATTCTGAGATCCAGCCTACCCATTAGAACCTCTTATTAGAACAATCCTCCCTCTTCACATCCTAAAACAGGGGTAAGCCCTTGACTAATTTTCTCTACCCTTGAATCTCAGAGTCTTTCCTTGTCATTCTCCCAAAGATAAAAGATGAGATTAGATTCCTTACCGCACTGTTCGGTAGTCTTCATTACAGGCTATGTCACATTCTAATTTAAGATTGAAGTTATTAAGGTTACCATCGCAGCCATTGAAGATAAAACTCTGACACTCTTTGGCAGTTCGATTGTAGAAAAATTTAAATTGTGGTTCATAGCAATGGCCGGGATCCATATCCATAGTACAAATATCTGTGAGAGAAGTTTCCATAGAATTAGAGGAAGATGATTAAGACTCAACAGCAAGTTTGTCTCTATTGAGAGGCCCTTAAAAATTCCTGCTTGGGGGGTTGGGGATTTAGCTCAGTGGTAGGGTGCTTGCCTAGCAAGCACAAGGCCTGGGTTTGGTCCTCAGCCCTGAAATTAAAAAAAAAAAAAATTCCTGCTTGGGATGGTGAGGTGGCTTAGGGGTTAAGGAACTGATTGGAGTTATCTCTATGGAGCCCACATGGTGGGAAGAGAAAACCAACTCCCTCCAGTTGATCTCTGACCTCCACATGTGTGCTGTGGTTCGTAAGTATTCATGCATAAACAATTGCATGCATGCAGGTGTACACACACACACACACACACACACACACACACACACACACACACACACACAAAGAAAGAAAAATTCCTTCCTTTAGCTTGGAAACATTCTTGTTCAGGGACCCTGAGAGGTTTCTGCCTTTTCTGTTAAAAGCAGAAATATATGGCAGAGCCATGTTTGTCCAACACCAACAATTTGTGTCTCCAGATTGTGATCTGGGGCATCGGTTTGGGAAAGAACTGGATTGTGACTGGCTCAGCTTGTACAAAGTGACAAGGTTCTTGACACCACACACCTTGCAGGGTGTTCCGGCATTCTGCTCCGCCATGCCTCATTACCTATCTTTTCACCGGCCTGCTGAAGACACACAATGCAGAACACACACACACCCCTTCCTACATCCTCATCATACAATTTACATTTCCAAATTCAGGAGATTCTGTACTCTGTTGTTGTGAAAGTTGGATTCAGAACCAAGGGCATGAAAATCTTTCCTCCTCATGCCTATTCTTCACTCTTTCTCTTGTTTTGTCAGGAAGCAGCTGTCTCATCTGTTATTGGCTAAGTGGTGGGTATGAATGATTGACATACTCACACTGGTGGCCATGTTGAGTCTAGTGCTTAATGCTCCCCCTTCCTTCCTCAAGCTACCAGTCTGTAATTTATTCACTGGGGAGACTACTTGTCTAGGCCTAGTAACACACACAATTTTATTTTATAGTCACAAATGCTCTCTGATTTTCTAATTTTTGTTTTACATATGGATAAGCTGGGGTAGGGGAGGAGATGATAATTGGCCCAGAATCTCTTCCAAAGGCACAGATCTGCTGAGTGACAGGATCAGAGTTTGGAATCTGAATCAAAGTATAGACTGTATCACTTGGGTTCAGGTATAAAGTCTCATTATGAGTCATAGCTACACTGTAAACTCTGCTGTATAGGGACAGTGTGCTCAGATGTTTTCTATATGCCCAGAGCCCAAATGCAGGATATACCTCAATTATATCAGTCTCCAAATTCCTCTCTCTCACTCCAATGCATGCTCTTGGAAGGTCTGAACTCTTTGAAAGATGTCACAAAACCCCTATCTCAAAATGCTTCCAGTCTTTGACCTCCTACAAAAGAGTTCTCTCTCTGGAAAGGACTTACTTATACCATATATTGTTTTATCCTCTCTGGACATCCACAAGACCTCCAAAGTAAACAATGCCCCAAGTTAAGGCACTGAAGGTTGGTGGCTGTTGCCACAACAGAGGATCCTTCTGACCTACCCAGTGGAATTGTTTCCATTTCTTCCTCCCTCATCCATAAGGCCATGGATTTACCTTCTGTTTTAACCTCATCCATACCTCTGTATTCATCGCACAGCAGTTTCATAAGTTTGGCAATACCACTCAGTCCTGGGGTGGTGAGTGAGCAGAAGATGAAGAACGCTAGGAGAACCCCCAGCTTAGCAGGCTTCATGGTGGGGCAGGCAGTAGGTTTATTAAACTGTTTAATGCTCTTATACTTCAGGTTTGGTTTGGTGGGAGGGCTGAGCCCACCTAATCCAAGGGCCAGGATTGGGCATTACGAGGTGTTGAGTTAAACGCTGAGTGCTTGAGTACCCAGCCATGAAGCTAAAGGCCCCAAACTGATTAGACCCCTGATAGTGAGTTCCATATTCATGCAGAAACAGTGTGAGCTTAGGGACAGGGCATATGCATATGCTTAACTATGGAGGGTTGGATCACCAGAGCAAGGAATTTTAAAAGAATTGCTTCCTTCCCATGTTCTGGTTTTCTAAAGCAGAGAAAAACTGGCCTGGTGCATTGGAAAGAATGAAGTGTGAGAGTAACAGTGATAGAAATGATGACTGAAGCATTTCCTTCTTGCCATAGTCTATATTAAGTAATCCATATGGACTAAGTCATTGAATTATTACGCAGAACCCTGAGGTAGGTATATTTGTCCTCACCAATGACAGACACTGAACAGATAGAGGTTAAGTTATGTACATGATCACTTACCTATTTTGTAGTGGACACTTGATTTGAAGTTGGCATAAGGGGTTTAGTAGTGTTCTGTTATTATTATTACTGTTTAATTTTTGGAGACAAGATCTGGCTGTTTACCTTGATTTGTTCAGGAACTTGTTGAGTAGCCCGTGCTGGCCTTGAACTTCTCTGATCTTCCCACCTGAGCCTCCCAAGTACTGGGGTTGCTGGCCCGTGCTTTCACACTCAGCTAAGAGTTTGTTTGAAGCACATTGCTACACTACTCTGTGAAGCCACCTTGAACCTGACTTGTTTTATAAGTTTGGAAAAAATGACTCCCATCCACACCCTGGAATCATTTGACATTGGTTTCTTTTGGTGAACCATGAAATAAAGGCCCCCTATCATTTTCTGATGGTTTCAGACTTCTCTTTCATTAACTGCGTTCTATTCAGCCACTGTCAATAGCTACAATCATATAATTTTGCTAATATATGTGGATTTGCGTGTTTTATTACATTATATATTCCTGTTTCAAAAGCCATACTTAATTTCTTGAACTTTGTATTAGGAGTTTTCATTTTCCATATAAAATTCAAAATTAACTTGACAAATTTCTGAGAAAAACCTACCCTAGACATTGTTTTGAGCTGCATTGAATCTTTAGACCAATTTTATGTTTATTTTGGTCTTTAATAATTTTTTTCAAGAAAGATTTCTGGGGCTGGAGAGATGACTCTGGTTAGGAGCACTGGCTTCTCTTCCAGAGCACCCAAGTTCAGTTCCCAGTGCCTACATGGGGTGGCTTACAATCTCCTATAACTCCAGTTTTATGGGGATCCTATGCTTTCTTATGGCCTATGAGTATGCCTTCCCCAACCCCCATACACACACACACACACACACACATACATACACACACAAAAAAACCCCAGAGACACACAACTTGCCAAAGTGCAGAGAATAAGAGATTGTAGAATACCCATCCTTAAATGAGAATACACACCATACTCCTTCCTTCAAAGGCCCAGGAATCATTGTGGAAGATGGATCAGAAAGAGTGAAAGGGCCAGAGGTGATGGATAACTGTAAGGAAACAGTGTCTTCTGGATACAGCAGGGCAGCTGCACAAATGAACTCACAGTGGTTCATGCATAGGACATGTACAAGCCTAAACCAGACTAAATCCCAGCATGGAGAGGGGAGTTGGACATGGAGATATTGACGATTGTTAGTTCTGGAAGAGGAAGGATTGGTTCTCTCTAATAGTGTAGCTCCTCATAAGCTGATCATGAGACAGTAGAAGGCCATACATCAGAGAACATTTAGGTAGCACAAATTGGCCTAGAAGGGAAAAAATAGGACACAGAATTGTGTGGGAAGGGAGCAGAGTTGGATCTGGGACAAACTGGCTGAAGAAGAGTGAATATGATCAAAACAGTATGAAATTCTCAAGTAAATGATAAAATTAATAAACTATCCATAAAAATATTAAAAATAACTTAAAGAAGATAAAGGTTTCTGATACTTTTCTCATGCAGGCTTTATAACATCTATATTTTAATATTATTATAAATGGTATCTTTCTGGGTTTTGGTATACCACGATCACTGAGAGACACTGTCTCAAAAAATAAGGTAGAGAGTTGTAGATGCTTGATTTTTATTAATTAAATAGTTTGAAGTAGGAAGATCCACCTTTAATCTGGGCTACACCTTCTGCTGGCAGCCTATATAAAGGACATGGAAGAAGGCACCTCTTTGTTCTTTGCCTGCTTGCCCTAGCTCTTGCTGGCAAATCCATTTCTTCACTGGCATTAGAGTTTACTTCTTCAGAACTCTGGTGTGTACTGAAGACCAGATGGGATATCCAGCTTCATGGACTGAACAGCTTCTGAATTTTTGAACTTTCTGTTGTTTGAAGCTTCATGTCGATTGTGTGTGTGTGTGTGTGTGTGTGTGTGTGTGTGTGTGTGTGTGTGTGTGTGTCTGTGTGTGTGTGTGTGTCTGTGTTTCTGTGGGTATGCATACATACTGTTGATTATATTCTTCTAGAAAACCTTGACTAACTCACTTGAGCGCACGTGCACACACACACACACAATGAATTAATTTTGCAGTTTGAAAATTATACATCTTTTCTGATAATCACAGAATTTCCCCCCTCAGATTTACTCCTATATCTTAATTTAACTCAGCAGCTTTTACAGTCAAACGTCTCTCTGTAGTTTAAAATCCCAGACAATATAATCCCGATTCTCTGTGTAATATCCATCTTTATGTGGTTTATTTTTATATTATCTTTACTGTCTCTTTAAAGACTTTATTTTTAAAAACTATTTCTTTATATAACTGTCTATATTCATTTTCTTCTCTCTTCCAAGCCTACACACATTTTTATCTTTAAACACTTCAAAGACCTACAGAATATGGCATTTAAAATGTTTTAAAAAACTTAGACTTTTCTGGACATTGAGATATATCTGCTCCTGGCAGTACTCATTTACTTCAAAGAGAAAGATGGACATTGAAGACACCCTATATGGAGTTTGTCTTCTTCTTGGCAAAAATAGCCATTGGGCAAGAGACTGTTCTTGCCTGGACTGCTTGACAAAATGTTGTATTGACTGGACATGCAGGAACCATAAGAAGGTGACCACTGAACTTTTCAAGGCAAAATGGTCCTTCAGGTTCCTGCTTCACAGAAGAAACTGCCAGACATTCTACAGGACACAGAGAAGTGACTGAGAGACATTAGACCTATGGGCTAAAGATGGATGCCCCAACATTACAGAGGAACTTAGGGTAACTGTCCAGGCAGGCAGCTGTCTCTGTCATTTCTACAATTTTGGAAGTTGCTTATAATGTTCTTCCTGTTTACTTAGGTAATATTATAGCCTTCTGAGGTCTTTGATGTAGTTGAAGACCAGATAGTTATAATTTTCCTTAGTTATGATAAAAGATAAGCTAGATATGAAACCTTAGACTCACAAATATAGGATAAATAGAATACTTTCTTTGTTTTTGTTTTTGTTTTTTTTTGAGCTGAGGATCAAACCCAGGGCCTTGCACTTGCTAGGCAAGTGCTCTACCACTGAGTTAAATCCCTAACCCAGAATCCTTTTTTTGAATTTGCAAAATATAAATAGACTAGATAGTGTAACTGTAATTCTTTCTTGATAACTGTTTTGTTATATATAATTTTACTATGTTAAAGTTAAAACTTTCCTTTTTAATTAAACAGAAAAGGGGAAATGCTGTGGAATAATGCTTTTGTACACTGGTTTAATAAAACACTGATTAGCCAGTAGCCAGGCAGGAAGTATGGGTGGGATAAGCAGACAAGGAGAATTCTGGGAAGAGGAAGGCTGAGTGAGGAGACACCAGCCCGCTGTCCAGGGAGCAGCATGTAATGGCACACAGGCAAAGCCATGGAACACGTAGCGACATATAGGTAACAGAAATGGGGCTGAGTTTAAGTGTAAGAGCTAGTCAGTAGTGAGCGTGAGCTAATGACTGAGCAGTTTTAATTAATATAAGCCTCTGTGTGTTTACTCGGGTCTGAGTGGCTGTGGACTGGACAGGACACAGGAAAACTTTCAGCTACATTCTCTGACCTTAGGGGAAGTTACTTAGGATCTGTAATCTTTTTTGTATACTATTGAACTTTGTGCTGGTGTGATGTGTAAGACTTGTGCATTTTTGTGAATTTGATCTTCTGGTGATTCTCTTACTGTCTTTATTGGATTTGAACATATATGAGAAATAGTCACCCCTAGTCCCTGGAATATTTCATATGAGTTGAAATGTTCATTCCTTGTGGATTGATTAGACATTTCTGTAAGCCATGTACACTGATGTCTCTGTTTGATAGATTTTTCACTAACTTACTGTTTTGATTTTCAATTGTTTTAAACTTTGGTTTACTTTCCAAGTTTCATATCTCCTCTTCTTTTTAAAAATTTTACTTTATTGTGGGCTGGAGAAATGGCTCAGAGGTTAAGAGCACCGACTGCTCTTCCAGAGGTCCTGAGTTCAATTCCCAGCACCCACATGGTGGTTGACAACCATCTGTAATGAGATCTGGCGCTCTCTTCTGTATACATAATAAATAAAATTAAAAAAAAAGAAAAAAATTTTATTTTGTTGTGCTAAGTGTCCTTAGTATCAGACCTGGAGATACAGCTCAGTGGTTGAAATGGATACTAGACAAGCATGAGAACTTGAGTTCTGATGCCCAGTGTCTATGTAAAAATGAAGCATAGCTGCATGTGTCTGTAACCCCAGCTCTTAGGAAGAGATAGACGGTTTGGGGATACACTGGCAGCCAGTCTGGCTGAAGTGATTAGTTCTAGGTTCAGTGAGAGACCGTGACTCAAAAAATAACGTGGAGTAGTTAAAGAAGACACCTGATGTTGACCTCTGGCCTACATATGCACATATATAGGTTTGTGCACATGTGTACATATACTTCACACACTATACACAC